TTTTTTATTTTTATTTTTTTTTTTTTTTCTTATAGTAAATACCCTGTATATAAGTGATTGTAAAATGGAATGTGAAAATGAATAAAATATATTTTTTTAAAAAAAGTGATCAGTACTAAAAAAAATTGACATTTCTACTCACATAAAATTTAAGCAGAGCTCCATCTGAGTTGCAGCACCAGGATCTCCTTCCAAGGTATTCATGGGCAGTGTTCAGCAGCATAAGGGAAGGGGGCAGCATAGGCGTGTCTTGAATTGGAGACATGAGAATAAGATGAGAAACAAGTAGAACTCTCATCAACTTTAGAAGAACGGGTGACAAACTTCAGACAGCAGTTTCTCATTGTAATAGAGTATTTTAGGCATCTTTCTGCTCTAACAAAGTCTTTCAAAGCAAGGAACAAATCAGTCAGCCCAAAGGAATTACTCAGAATAGTCTATCAAATTGCTTGATCACCTCAACCTTCTTAGCATGCAGCTGCTGTATTTTGCACTAATAGCACCAATTTGGAGGTAATGAGGGCATCAGTAACTGTCAACAGAGCTTCTGGTTCCAAGAAGGGCCATCCTGAAGCTGAATCAACCCATCCCCTGTCATGCACCTGCTGATTTTGAAGGAGCTGAGAAACCCAAGTTGGGGATCTCCTCCTAAAAGGCAGATCCTGAAGATCAAGAAGGGGAATCAGGCAATTACACTGTGGTTACCAGTCAAGCAGCCAGTCAATCATGCTAGGGTTCAGCCTCAATTTGCTATGTTCCATTAGACCTTGTGACTTCCAGGTATCAGATAAGGAATTATGAGGTCAGCATGGATTTTCCAAAAACAAAAGTTAGAGAATGACTTTACTTCATTTTTGATCAGACAACTTCCTTAATGGATCATGGCAATACAGTAGATTCTGGTTCCCAAACTGAATGCTGCAGGCTCCTGCGCTGCAGTACCTTCGGCATTGTGGCACATTTTGGGAATTGTGGGGTGATAGGCAAAATTACTGAGGCAATAAGAGTACTGAGATCTGTTTGGGAACCTTGGCTGTAAACCTGATGCACCTTGTCGCTAGAAAACCATCGGATGACGTGCCTGATGACATTCTGACATGTTTAGATCACTACACCTGAGAGTCTTGAAGGCCAAGATGCCACCTTGCATCTCCTTTGATGCCACATTGCATCTCCTTTGGGGCCCTTTGAAGAGGGCAGGCATCAGGCTACAGGACGGATGTGAAGGAGGAAAAAGAGACCCTGAAGAAAAGGAACACCAGGACTCACCTCCTTCCTGTGGATTCTGCAGCTTCTCATGTTGACAGTAAAGGGGCTGGATGTTTTCTTCTTCATGCTGAATAATCTGATGAAGAATAATCCAGGGAAGCACCGAGGACACAAACGGCTCTTTGGGTTCCTCCTGGACTACCATGCTGGAATCAATAATCTAATCGCCAAAGAAAGAAACACAGCAAATAAAAAGCCACAAAGGTAATCGAGAGTCAGTACTCTAGTTCAGATATTTGAGACTCAGCTGCAACAAGAAGAAAGAGTTACTAAAGACTTTTTGTAACTTTAGCACTGCTCATCAAACTTACAACTGTGACAGTATTCCCATATGGTCATGTGATTACGATTTGGGAACTACTGGTAGTATAAGTGGTACCTGGCTCAAAATAACTGTGAGAGGGATCTTGGGAGTCCTACCGGACAATCACTTAAATATGAGCCAGCAGTATGTGGCAGCAGCCAAAAAAAAGCCAGTGCAATGTTAGGCTGCATTAACAGAGGGATAGAATCAAGATCACGTGAAGTATTAATACCACTTTATAAGGCCTTGGTAAGACCATACTTGGAATTCTGAATTCAGTTTTGGTCACCATGATTTTAAAAAGATGTCGAGACTCTGGAAAGCGTGCAGAGAAGAGCAACAAAGATGATAAGTGTGCTGGGGACTAAAACATATGAAGAACTGTTACAGGAATTGGTTATGACTAGTCTAATGAAAAGGACTAGGTGTGACAGAATAGCAGGGTTCCAATATTTCAGGGGTTGCCACAAAGAAGCGGTGATCAACCTATTCTCCAAAGCACCAGAAGTTAGGACGGATAGAAACGAAAGGTAGCAATGGATGGAAACTAATCAAGGAGAGAACCAACCTAGACTAAAAAGAAATTTCCTAACAGTTAGAACGATTTGCCTCCAGAAATTGTGGGTGTTCCAACACTGGAGGTTTTTAAGAGGAGACTGGACAGCCACTTATCTGAAGTGGTATAGGGTTTCCTGCCTGAGCAAGTAGTTGGACTAGAAGACCTCCAAGGTCCCTTCCAACTCAGTCACATCTAGTGCATAGTCACAAGCGCTGCAATATGCCATGGTCATGTAGTCAACATTTGTGAGTTTTGCAGACAGCCTCTGACAAAGTCAATGGAGAAGCTGGCAGTAAAATTGTTACATGATATCTCCTTAACTATGGTGGGTGATTCATTTAACAGCCACAGCAGAACTAACATCGTAAGTCCAGTGTGGTGACATGTATTGCTCAAGAATTGTGACAGAGTTGTTGGACCAATAGTGGTCATTAAGTGAGGACTACATGTAAGATGATGATTGCTGAGCTGCCAGTCAACCAAATCATGCTCCAAAGAACATTTTAGAGGGCTCTAGTGGAAGACTTGCTCCTTTTCCCAGAGATGTGACCCTTTTTGCTGTGATTTTCCCTGCAATCAATATCTGGATATCGACTATATGAAATGTTACAAAATGTCATCACAATACATAGCTATATCTCTATAGACTTGTGGTACTGTGAATATAAGCAAGGGTGCTTTTGTCTTTTCCCTCTTTGGCTGGCTCCTTCTCCAGACGGAGCTCTTGGGGTGAAAGCTGCAGCAGCTGCGGGGTTAAGGGGAGCCCCCCCCCCCCCTACCTGGATGAGGTTGTGACTAAATCGGGTGAGATTCGGCAGGGCAGAAACTTCACTCAGGCTGCTGCTGTTTGCTGAGAGGGAGTGACTGATGCCCTGGAGCAGCTGAGTCACAGTGGCCACCCACTCTTCCTTGGCCGAGGCAGTTGTTGTATTGATCATCTGCTGGAAAGCTTCGTTCAAGGCCACTTCGGAGCATTCCAAGCACTGCTGATAATCCTTCAGCCGAAGAAGGGAGTCCTAGGGCATATCAGGAATGGGGTAGAAGATAAAAACGCCGCAGGGAAGAGAAGGAAGAGTTGCATCAGACAGGACAGCAAAGGCCAGAAAGACCATAAACCCTGGACCCTACAGGCATCTATGTTGCTTCCTGCAGGTTGTACATTATTAATCCTTATCACACACTTTCTTTTGGGGGGTTCGCAGTGTTATGTAAAACATACAGACACAGAGAACAACAAGAAATATTAAGTCAGGGAGAGAGGTAGAAAACAAAATACAGACGACCTCAATCCCCATTCCCAAGGTTGCTCACTTTCACTTCCAGATAACCAACTGGGCACCCAGTTTTTAGACAAATGCTTGTTCCTTGCAATTGACAATACAAATGCCCCACACACAATGTCTGAACACTGAGACATCACTTCTCCCACCTTCACCATCGTTCTGTTCAGGTGCACAATAGACATTCATTTCTTTTCCATCAGCAGGGACAGACAGACACACTGGAATCTCCATTCACGCAGTCACCCATTTCAGCCATTCTCTGTTCCAAGTGGGCCAAACGTTTTCTTGTCTCACTGCCAGCCAGCCATTCATGTCATGTAAAAGAGAAATTCCCACCAGACAATTCATTCAGAATGTTGAACAATTTCCCCCTAGATTCATCTTCAATGTGGCATTACCTTTCACTTAAACATAATACGCAACTATTGCCAACCTATGCCTTCTCATTTTCACATGTACCCACAAGAACCTAGAGCGCACCAATTCATACTGTCTGGCACACAATCCCAGACTTTCTAAAACCCTTTAGTATAAAAAAATACATGAACAGATTATATAAGTTGCATGTTAAAAGAAAAAAGAAAACACCCCACTCTTATTCTCACAAGAAACACTAAAGAAAGTCACATATTAGCTTTGCACTAGTGCCAAATCAGATGAAATCTAGTCCTTTACAACCTTATGTTAAAAGAAATCTGAATTTGGAATATGGCAGAAGTCTCTGGATAAAATTGCAAATTAAAGTATCAAACTTTTAAAGTATTGCACGCTCCAAAATTAATCTGACAATTCTCTAATGAAGGAACTGAATGTAATTGCCAGAAGTAGGTGTAGAAAGTCCCAGCAGTGGTCATTGTGGGCAAGGCCCACTCGGCGTAAGAATATAAGGCTCGGTGCTTCTTAACAGAAAAACCCTTGGCAAGAATGGAAAGTCAGTAATTAAAATTTATTTCATCCTACGGTAAATCATCTTCCAGAATTACTGAGCTCTTTGAGACTGTCACCAAATATAAAGATCCAACCTGATTATTACATTTCCAGGTTTTTTTAAAAAAAAATAGACCATTTGACAGTTGTAATTGGAATAATATACAAATACTAACAAAAATGTTTCTAGTTTTCTGTAAGTATATTCACAGTGAATTTGATATTTTTCTTCCAAGAATATTTGTTGAATGGATAAAATTTGGCATCTGTTTAATCATGTAAGGTTTCACTTCTTCAGTTTCTGAATCTTATTTCAATCCTTATTGAAAAGATTTAACTTATATATAAATCCCCAAAGATGCCCTGAATTTTGTCATAGGTTTTTCAAATTTGGTCAAATCTTTTGTGCCACCTCATTTTTGTATTTTTTATTTTAAACTATACTGATTTGAAGATGCTGCAACCAAGCTTCAACCAGTTTCTGACCATTCCACAGAGAGTTTGAAGATTTCATCAACATCATTCATTCAATGACCTTTCTTCGATTCCTATTGGGATCATTGGGAAAATATTAATTTTTACTACAGATATTCTTCCTTACCAAGAAAGATTTAATTTTTCCATCTTATAAATCCCACCCACCCAAGATATATAATTATTTTTGAATAAGTCTTCATTTTTTATATAAAAGGCTTAATATTATTATTAAATCCTGTTATTCATTGCATTTTTCTCCAGACGGACTTAGTGTCAGCCTCTGCTTCGCTGCTGCTTTTCTATGTCATGTTGTTCATCTGTTTGTCTGTGTTCTTTCGTTTCTGCAAGTGTGACCGTTCTTTTCTGGAGGAGGGCCGGATGTCAGCCTCTGCTTCGCTGCTGCTTTTCGGCTGCCATTGAAACGGGGAGGGGGGGCATGGTATTTGGGAGGGGAATCATTATGTGCCGGAGGATTGTTATTAGGAGTTATTCTGACCATCTCTCTGCGCATATGGAAGAAGGGAGTTTCTCGCTGAGGCCAACCTGATGATGATTTTTGAAGACATCTCCCACCTGACGGTTGGGTGAATTATGATTGGACTATGAACTGGGGTGCCAAAGGGAGGGGATTGAATCATACATGATATCTATTGCTTTCGCACCTTTTTACTTAGACTCAGCTTTGCATTGCTTCTCATTGTTTGTAATCACTTAATTCTGAAACATGGAGTTGAGTGGTTTCTTTCTTGATTATTAAATGAAGAGGCACCTGATATTTAGTTTGGTTAATTCTGAGTACAAACTGTTGAATATTGTATATATTCTTTATCAATTCTAAAGAATCCTTTAGAATCATTGTAAGAATTGTACCATCAGTATGCACTTTTAATTTATGGGCATTTGACAGCTAGATTACTCAAATGCTACTCTCCAGCCATATCTTCTCTGCCAATTATTATAATCTGATATTGTGAGGCATGCCTCTTTCAGAACCCAAGAAATGAAACCCCCAACTCGTGGTTTTAGAGAAAACCAGCTGCCAACACATACCAGGGCTGAAGGTCTGGGGGGGGGGGGAGGGTCCTTGGGAGCAACAGCTTTGGTAGACATCCTCATTGAGGCCATCCTTGTAGCATTCCATCACAGCCTCCTGAGACCACCCTCACATATGGCAAGCCAACTCGCGAAATGTCTGGGTATATTCAGCCACAGATCTCCGCCCCTGGTTCAGGGTTTTCATCCTGGTCTTAGTCTTACGCTTAGCTAGGGGGTCTTCGTACCTCGGCACTATGCTAATAAGCATTCATTTTATGCTAATTTACACCAATTTACTGGAAAGAAAAAAACATCAAACTCACCTGTAGCAAGAGAAGTTGGGCTGGCCTCTCTGGAATGGAGATGGCCAACTCCAAATGCTCCGTCCTGCTGTCCCCATTGAGGCACAAAGTTGGGCGGAGCAGCTGAACCACAGCCCTGTAGTCCCCAGCCTCGTACAAGCGCTGAAGCTCCTCCAAAGATTGGCATCTCTCCAGGGACTTCAGATTCTTATCAATCTGCAAGAATTAAACACTGGATGGGTCACACTCCAGTTTAATCTGGGATTAAAAAACAACAACACCTCACCACAATAATCAACCATCTGGTCATTATACCGTAAGACAGTGGCTGGTGTCCCACAGAAACTGGCTCATAATCCATCTTTTACCTGTGTTTATTCTACTATGGAAAGCCAGCCACAGCATACGGAGAACTCCTCTTCCTTCTTTTCCTTACATTCAATGAACTCCAGAGAATACACAGTGGAAAGATGACAGGCAACTGAGGTGGAAAGACATTCTAAGAGCAGCATTTTATTTCAAGTTTTAAAACCAAATGCCTGAAAGCCATCTTTTCTTTTGGACTTCAGGCCTGTCACACTTTCTACTATCTACTTTCTATTCTGGGAAAAGGGGAGGTGGGATTACATGGAGTTGGGTGATATTAGCCATAACAACATTCTTCTTAGAAAGCCAAGGTTATCTCTGTCTCTGCACCTGGCCGGAACTGATTGGTGGAATCTGTTGTCGTGGTAGTGGAAGACTGGACCATGTAATGGACTTGTGGGTATTGGGGCAGGATCTTGAATTTTCAACTAGATAGGAAAACCTGGAAGCTTTCAGATTTGTGTTTTCCAAGATGTGCCAGCACGGCTCTTTTAATAAATTGGAACTTTGAGGGATCCTTTGCTTCGGACTCCAATTTAATTGTATTGCATTGTATTGTAATTTTGAATGCTATTTGGAACCCTGACACCAGAAGCATTAATAGAGCATTTGAAATGAGCATCTCCTCCAACCTAGAGGTGATGCTTTTAATATCAGATAAAGTCAGGACCTGCCAAGCCACAAAATGCCGACTCAAGTGCAAGTACAGAGGCTTCAGATGAGACTCTTATGGCAGGATAAGTCTCGATGCCTCAACATAACCTGTGTGGAATCAGCTGCAAAAGAGAAATAATAAGCATGGCTTGGAGCCAACAAGGTGACCAAAAAAGCAACCAGGTGACGTTACCTCTTCCAAAGAAACCATAGAGTCAACATGGAGGTTGGGCAGTCTGATCACCATCCTCTTGTCGCTGTCAGAGTCGGCTTTGAGGGCAGCAGAATGCTGAAGCATCTGCGTGCAGACATCGTAGTTCTCCAGGGCCTGTTCCATTTCACCCTGCAGGAGCAACACAGCTTTCAGCTCCTTCTTCCTCCAGTACCATCATCAACCCCTCAGGCCAAGTGGACGCCACGTACCTCAAGGCCACTTCCCGGTTCCATCTTAAGGGATGTTTAAATGACACATATTTGCACTGATCAGGCGCAAACGCAAGGAGTTCCTCCTTTCTAACCTTGTCTTGCGAGGAATGTAAAATTGAGCATTAAGAGCTTTTAATTGCAGCAAAATACAAACCTGCAGAGCCAGAAACCGAGCTTTCAGCCAATACACTCGGACGGCAAACTGCAACCAACTCTTCTCAAAGAGGTCCCGCTGGGAAGAAGCGAATGAGAGCTGCAGGAGATCCCCCAAGAAGTGCGTGCCCGGAAAATCTGGGCCAAATTTGCCATTGGCCAAGCTGGCTGCAGGACCATTCCTGGGAGATACTGGAAGAAACATTTTTCTTGTTTAGCCCCTTGAAACGGAGTCTGAAGCAGGGAATGCAAAGGAAGCCCCCTTCTGCAGGTGGAGGCTCCTTTCTCTGCTTCCATTCTTGTGAGCCTGGGAACTCACTCGGATGAAGCATGCCAAGTGTTGCCGAGCTACCCTCCAAAGCTAGCCTAGAGACCCAGCCCCCTGGTAAGCAAAAGCATCTGCTGAACTTCCAGCCCTCACTCACTCACCCATGGAACTCTTCCCTTTGGCCAGCAACCACTGATCCAGCTGCAATTCCATGCAGGACAGACTCATCAGCATCATCTCCTGAAATATAGGCAAAGGTATGACAAAAAGAAGAGGGTGCTGGACAATCTGGGAGGTCAGGGTGGATATTTGTCTATTCTTTTCTCTATATGCACTCAGTAGTTCAAACCAGCTCTTCTAATCAGCAGGACTCCTGCTACCTGCAATGCCTCCCAAGATCTAGCTCCGACTAATGAGCCCAAGCAAATTAAAACCCTGATACTTGGCTCCTTCTCAATGTTCTTCTTTATTGAGTATATCATATCAACACAGCTTCAAAGGAAAACCAGCTCTAAATCTTTCCCGCAGTTTCAATATAATTAAACAAGGAGACAACCCCATCCCCAAGTGTCACAGGTCACGTTGGCCAATTGGATTAATCGGAGGGCTCTCCAGGCACTCCTTCCCCAACCTTATCCATTGCCAGGAGAGATGACCTTGTTCCTCACAAAAAAGCTCTCTGCTGTGTCTAGTAAGGCATTCCAACCTCCTTCCCCCCTTCCCCCTCTGTGTGGCAACTGAGAACAGAAAAATGGGTGCTGCCAGATTTGGTTCGGAGTTGACACTGGCCTTTCTAGTGTCCAGGTAACAGAAAGATACTTCATCGCCTAGAAGGTAGAAGTGGCTTCAGGCTGTTCCTCACTGAAAAGGAACAGAGCATCCAGTGGTGCTTCTAAGCCAGTTTTTCAGTTCAGGAGTTTAGTCTGGCCATCTGCAGAGGCTACTAAAACTTATTTGTTAATCAAGGTCTGTGATTCTCTGAGCCAGTGAGACCAATTCCCAGAGATCACACCATCCAATGGAACTGTTTAAAACAAAACATTTTGGACTTGGGTCAGATTCTGTGAGGCTTCTCCAATAAAGCTGACTGTCCTCCTCAAAGGCAATGAAGGGAACTCAAGAGTCCAGGTTCTTTCTGGTGGCTGAAAGCCTGAAGAGGCAGAGTTTTATTGGCTATGGAACCTCATAAAACCACGACTTTTCTTATCTCTCCTACTTCTTCTGTATGCACAATCCTGGGTAGATCAGTTGTGTGCCTCATTTAAATGCAGCAAACACTGTGCTGCACTCGCTGCATGGTGCCCGCTGAGCACCTGTTCCTTCTCCTTTGCTATGGGGGCTCTGATAGGCAAAAGGGAGCCCACTGCAGAGCCTTCTAAATCCTCAGTTACCCTTTGCAGGTAGAAATACAGGTAATCCCCGAATTGGGGCAATCACTTAGTAACCATTCCAAGTTATGACCTAGCACACTCCCCCCACCAGGCACCTATGACCCAATCCTGAAGTTACAAATGTTGCAGCCTCTGTTTGCAAAGGCTTTTGCCTTGGGTCTTGTGCAGGCCTCAGTTCGTAATGAACAGAGGCTTAAAGTAGTGTAGTGTGAGATCGTGCAAAAATCAGTAGTGCAAGATCTCTCTTGGTCTCTCGCACTACAGTAGTTTTGGCCTCAGTTCTCTGTGAACTCAGTCCTGTACCTCATCTGGCAGAAAAGCACTTGCAAGCCGAGACTTTGGGACAGCAACAACATGTTGCTTGAAGCCTCCCAACAGCTTGCAAATGCCTTTCCCACCATTCTAGTCTTGGCATGAAGAGCATTTGCAAGCTGATGGGTGGCTTGAAGCAATGCGATTTCACTGCCCCAAAGTCTTGGTGTCTTGCAAGTGCTCTTTGTGCTGAGACTACAAGCAGGCAAAGAAACAGCAGAAGACACTGGAGAGAGACAGATCTTCACAAGTGACCCGGCATGGCAGGATGGGGGGGGGGGGGGAACAATTGTGGGGACCCCCAGGGGGGTATGTCTCAGTGGGTCGGGGGAGTCCTTGGGTGGTCTGAAGCAGGTGGCCTGTTCCACTGTAAGGTACCCCATGGCCTTCCCCACCGAGATACCTCATGTGCACTTAGCGACCCATGCAATCAATTAGTGAATGTGTGGGCGAAAGCAGGGAGTAATCATGGTCAAGTTATGCAATTCACTCCTACAAATCACTCTTAACAAATGCAATTGGTAGTTTCCATTCCATTCGTAACTCGAAGACTACCTGTACTCAAAGAGCAGCAAGGACGTCATCATTCAAAAGCGATCCTTACCCTGATGTGTTGATTGTGACAGTCCCTTAATAGTGGGTTGGGTAGGCTGCTGCTGTGCTTTCTCCAGTTGTTGTAGATATTCAGAACAACCTCGGGCAAGCCTGGTGGCCACTTGACCAGGAACTTCTGGCTGATGACTTTCAGGTATCTCATCATCAGTTCAAGTATGCCTCCGTTGTTCAAATTAGCCAAGAGGAACTTATGAACATCCTGCTTCTCTGGAAGAAAAATTGCCATCATGAGCTGATTTTCAGGGAATGAATGAATCAATAGATTAAGCTAATGTTTAAGAAAATCAAACAGTAAAATAAAAGTAGAGGTAAATCCTACCAGATTCCATGCAGACTGTCAGGTCAAGGGACATCCTATGGGAGCCCAGGGGCTGTGAGTTCTCATCCTTTGTTGTGCTTTGGATCTCATAGTGGTTGAATGGACCTTCTTCTTCTGGATCCAGCTTCCTCAGGCTGAAAGCATACCAGAAAAGCATTGAAGCAGTCAGAACCTGACTGCAGAGGAAAGGTAGCCAGGCAATCTGATCCACTGTTGCATGGCTATGCCTCTCCCCTTCCACCCTCTCCCGGCTTTTCCCCCCAGCACATGTTTAGAAATGGGGACGCGCACCGAGAAGGAAGGAACTTTACTAGCAGCTCCTGGAAATCGACTTTTTCTTCTTTTTTGCACTTGGTATTCCTGACTCGAGCAGATCGCCTCTTCGCTGTTTCACCACTCTCTTCCATGATTTTCTTCCGTTTCAACCCTTTCTTAGATTTGTCACCCCCAGAAGCATCTCCTGAGAAGAGCCAAAGAGTTTGGGATTAACAAGTGACTTCTATCAAGTTATTTTCCGATTTTTTAATTGACAAAAACAATGTTTCTGTGTGGTCAAGTGGATCTCTTGTCCCCAAATTCAAGGCTGATCACAGGATGGCCCCGGAGAGACCTTCTTGCCTTCTCTCCAGCTCCAAAATCTCAAGCAGAGGAGGAGGAGGCGGCAGCACCTGGAGCCAGAGAGGACAAACTGAACTACCTGCTCAAGGCAGGAACCCAAACAAAACATCCCTGACAAAAGACTCTATAGCAGTGGTTCCCAAACTTTTTCAGTCCACCGCCCCAGTTTGCACGACGGAAGGTAGTAACAGTAAAATTCAAAACTGTAACAATTAATTGCAAATTTATTCAAAATCCAATTTAAAAACCTTTTTAGTTAATGTTAATTCAACAAAATTGTTGAACATGATCTAGGTTTTCAAAGTCTGATAGTCAGGGATCAAGAACCTTAGTAACTAGTAACTTAGTAAACTCAGTAAAATT